TAAACTAGGGTTTTTACTTAGAAAACTTTCAAGATCCGTTGATTTACGGAAAAAATTTCAAAGGAAACTTTAAGTGTTTCAAGATTCAATCAAAAATTGAATCAAACAATTATTTTACTAAATCACAATTGAGAAGCGTTGAGAGAGAAAAAGTTAAAAAACCGAAACACTTAGGGTTTCAACAAGAACATTTTTTGAAGAGAAAAAACTTAATTGAACGATTTTCCAGAGTTCTGATACCACTTGTTGGTCTCAGAATCGAATATTGAGCTATTAAAAAACAAAGTAACAGAAAATAAAGATGAACACAGAGAATTTTTTACCAGAAGACCCGGATGTTCAGCTTAAGAGCCTACTCACCCATTGAGTATCTACATGTAGATATTGCTCGATTCCACTAAGAAATTTCTCAAGAACAGTACAAATGTCTAAAGAGAGCACAAGTCTCTTCAATTTTTTTCTCACCTCTCTCTTTCAAAATACAAATCAGAACTAACAATCTATTTCTTCCAAGATTGCACACACTAACATCTCACAATCTACACCAGAGATTTTCAAAGAAGAAACACGCGAAGTATGAGAGAACAAAACCCTCAAGAGACGAACCCTAGAATATATATATATATATATATATATATATATATATATATATATATATATTCCATCAAAAACACACTGATCCAACGACTAAGGCTTAGGCAGATGAATGGTCCAAAATTAATAGCAACCAGAAATAGAAAGTTATAATCATGTTAACCAAAAACACGTTTTATCTTGGGTCTTAAGAACGGGTTAACTTGAGGCCCAAAAATATCCAGCCCATCAACAAATGCTAGAGTCCAATTAATAGTAAAGGTCTAGCCCATGTCCAACAAATAAGTTTCAAGAGAGTATGAAATCTTTGAAGCATGTCCCATTTAAGAACTACGAACATGGTAATTTTTAGATTTTAATTTGGAATAGAGATATTGGAATTAAAATATAGAGATATGATCTATTCAGCACTCAAGAAAGGGAACATAATTAATTTACTGTTCTTGCTTATAAACTTGGGAAAAGAATTGATAGAAGTATTTATATAATCTGAGAACTATTGTTGACAGTGCGGAGAATTTGTTTTCTAGGCTTTCACACTTTGATAAAGTTCTGGTATAACTTGCATTGTTTAGTTGAATTTGTCACCACATCTATCTTTAGATTAGCATAAAAATATTGATTCTAAAATCTTATTTTGTAGATAAAATAGAGACTAAAATAATTCTAATACCATGTAGGAATTTAATATTAATACCTACGGGTTCGACATCCTTACTTGATTTTATATTACAAAACTTGACGTTGTACACTTGTGGTATGTTTCACGGCATAGAAAATGCATAACAAAAATCAAACAGATGAAAAACTCAAAGCACTTAGGATAGATAATGGTATTGAATTTTGTAATTTTGAATTTGATTCATTTTGTAAAGAATCTAGAATTTTAAAGCACAAAACAGTAACATACACTCCTCAACAAAATGGTGCTACTGAGAGAACGAACAAAACTTTATTGGAAAAAGTTAGATGTATGTTACTATGTTTTGGGCTTCCCAAACTTTGTTGGCGAGAAACTTTGAAAACTGCCATTAACCTAATAAATAGAATTCTTTCAAGTGCTGTTAATTTTCAAATCCCTTAAAAACTATGGTCTGAAAAGTCTCTAGATTAGTCTGAAATTTAAAGTTTTTAGCCATGCAACCTATTCTCATCAAAATGAAGGTAAGTTTGAACCTAAGTCCTTAAAATGTGTTTTTCTGGACCATGGAAAAGAGACTAAGGGATATAGACTTTGGGTAAATGGTCAAAGTGGTTTCAAAGTGATTATCAGTAGGAATGTCATGTTTAATGAAAATGAAATCCCCTGTACTTTTCTTTCAATCAGGAATTTGTTGAAGTCTCATATGTTAAAGAAATTGTTTTGGAAAGTCAAGGAAATGATTTCATTGGACCAGATGATTTGATTAAGACTACTCAATCTGAAACAAATCAAACACAAGATGAATATGAATCCCAAAATTCCACTCTTGCTAATTATTAGTTAACCCAAGATAGAGGTAGAAGGAATAGCCAGAATGAGCAGTGATGAATTTGTAACCCTGTACTCTACATTATAGTCTATTAAATCTGAACTACTACTTTTGAGGACGCTGTTAACTGTTAAGAATTATAACTGTGGATAGGAGCCATGAAAGAAGAAATTGACTCTTTGATTAAAAACAATACTTGGATTCTTGTTAATAGGCCTAAAAATCAAATTGTAGTTGATTACAAATGGGTTTATAATGTTAAAAAAAGGTGAATCTAATGCTAAGGGTAAAAGGTATAAGGTTAAACTTGTGACAAAAAGGGTTAACACAAAGAGAAGGCATTGATTATAATGACATTTTTTCCCCAGTTGCTTAATACATCTTTATCAGAATTTGGCTTGCTTTAACTGCTCATTTTTGCTGAAATTGGATTAGCCTGATGTTGACACTGCTTTTTTAAATGGTTATCTTGATGAAACAATATACATGAGTCAGCTAAAGAGTTTTGAAGTTAACTCTAAATCTGAAAGGAAAATGCTATGAGTACATAATTTTTGGTACGTAGAGATGCCCACCCTCTCACATGGGTGGGGCCTGCTCGAATATGTGTGTGTGGGGGGGGGGGGGGGGGGGGGGTTGGATACCCTTATATATAAAAAATTATATACAAGTATCTTTATCCAATTGAAAAAGTTATTCAAAACGTCTCTTTATGACGGAAACAAACACTCAGACAATGGTGTAAGAAGTTTAATTCATATGTTCAAAACTAAGGCTTTATTAAGAGTGATTTTGATTCCTGCTTCTTTGTCATAGGGTTAGGAGGACCTGAATCTATCTATTTGTTATTATATGTTGATGATATGCTTCTTGCTTGTCATGACAGATCTAAAATATATTTTACCAAATCAAAAAACTTATTCGGGTGGTAGATTGAACACATCTGATACCATTTTGAATTTCAGTCTTACTACAGTAATAGGCTCAGTGACTAATTTTTAAACAAACTCTTAACGAACTCTCATTGGAAGTTTAAAAAAATATTATAAAACACTGCCAATCAGGGGCTGACATTTCATCCCCTGGAACATGCTCCTATTTGAGCCCATTCGTTTGGCTTAATCCTTTGAATTTGAGTGTATACTCATTGAAAATAATGTCACGTAAATCGTTAGTCTTTCAACTTGTTTGTCACTTAGATACAGTGATCCATATAATGCATTGGAGACACTCTACAATCTATTTGGCATGGAGATATAAACTACTTTTGATATTAGTAAGTTGTTTTTGAACCCGTTTAAATAATGTTTTAGAATTACTTTATTTGATTAAAAAAGCTTTTAGAAGAATAAGATCCAAAGTTAATTCATCAACAATTTCTTTTACAAAAAGAAAAAAATAGAAGTAAAAGATATTCCAAACATGTTGCTTTGTCGTCTTAAGTACCATTTCGTGTCACGTGATGATCGTAGTATATCATCGAATCAACCACCATATGAGTTAAAGAATATAATCCTAGCCAAGTATCGAATGAATTCGAGAATATATTCATTTAATTTCTATATGGTTCCAAACGGCTAAATTATGCAAGACAACTGTATCAAATAATATTAAACACAAACAGTAATTAATTAATTTTCTACTTAAAATTTAAAATTGGTTTCAACTTTCATAATTCACGTGGGACCTAAACACCCATCCCTTGCCCATCTTTAATAATTATTTGGTAAATTGCAATATTCCTTTCCAACGTTTCTAACCTTTTCTTTGTCCCATTTTTTGTCCCCAACCTTTCGAATATTAGTAAAGTTTGTCCAAGTTGACAGATTCTTTAAAAAATTCCATTAAAAGTGATATATAATAACTATTTTACCCATAACCTTTAATAAACAAAGAACAGACAAACAAATGTTAAAAGAAAAAAAAATTAAAAATTAAAAAGTCATCTTCTTGAGCATACACTATGGGTTATCGAGTCTTAGATTATATGCAGTGTATTCTATAAAGTATTAACAAGGTAACATGTAAGTTGAAATACTTTCAATTTACATGTTATTGATTCGTAAAGAATAGAAAATCAAGTCCAAAATTAATTTCTAGGTTTTAATCCTATATGTGTATTTCATATTCTTAAAAAATAAAAAATAAAAATAAAAATCATCTAAATTCAAATAGAAAATGGACATGTCGATTGTTAACATGTCTAACTTAGTTTTTGAATCTAAATAGGTCTTATACAGTATTTATTATTTCTTTCAACACACTAATTTGCCAGAGTCTCTGCTAACTTGTATCGAAGATGAATTTGTTTTAAATATTATTCATTTTAGCAATTTACAATTGCAATATGAGAAGAGTTGAGATGTGCTGCCCATCTAATAAATGATTAACACATCATTTTTAATTAACATATTCAGCTTTTCTCTCAATGTTACTTGTACTTGAAATTAGGTAATACTTAATTGTAAAATGATGTGTCAATCAATCATTAATGGATAACAAATTGAACAGTTGAGATTTGTTGTCAATCCAATGAATGATTGACACATCACTTTAAATTAAAATGATGTGTCAATCATTCATTGATGGACAACAAATTTTGGACGGTAGATCTCAACTCTACTATCCAAAATTTATTGTCCATCCAATGAATGATTGACATATCATTTTAAATTAATATATTCAACATTTCTCTCATTATCACTTATACTTAAAATTAGGTGACGCTTTAATGCAAAGTGATGTGTAAATCATTTATTAGTGGACAACAAATTAAACAACAAATTTTGGTTAGCAGATCTCAACTCATATGAGAGAGATGTTGTAAACTCTTGATAACTATTGTTTTCGATAGGAATTTAACTTTTGAAATATGGAATTCACTTTCAATCGATTGAAAATAAAACTATACGAGAGCGTCACCTTCCAGCCCCTCTCTCTCTCTCTCTCTCTCTCTCTCTCTCTCATCTTACTCTGCAGGGTTGGAAAGTTCAATTACTCCACAAACTTTCTTTAAAAGTAGAATTATCTTTGTGCTATATGTCTTTACATGTCTCTGTTCGAATTATGAACTTTGACCATTATATACAATAAACTACGTCTGTCTTGTATTCGTATGCTGTAGAATGGAAGGATACTCCAGCGAAAAGCTTTTAAAGGGAGCAGAAGAGGAAGAAAATGTTAAGCTCAAGGACAAAATATGGAACGAATCCAAAAAAATGTGGGTTGTGGCTGGACCTGCTATTTTTACCCGATTTTCAGCATTCGGAGTAAGCGTCATTAGCCAGGCATTTGTTGGCCATATTGGCTCCACGGAACTTGCAGCGTACGCTTTGGTCTCTACTGTTCTGTTGAGATTTGCCAATGGGATTGTGGTACACAACACCATCTACCTTAACTTTTTTTCATTGTGGGTTTTCCCATTTTTGGCTAAACCAGAACCAGAACCAGGTCACCTATATGCATATTTATTGATTAAGAATCAAGAAAAATAAACAAAAATTCTTTGATCTTGGAGAGTTTTTAATTATTTATTATTTCTGCACGATGTGCTTTTAAAATGAAGGAATGCTTATTCAATATTCCATTATGAACTAAAGAAAACATTGTGGTTAATGGTAATAGATTAGGGATGCTCATTCAATATTCCATATGAACTAAAGACAGATTATGCGATATTGTTCTAATACCAAATACTATAAAAGTAATGAAAAATATAACAAAATTCTTATAAGATTTTCTAAAACTTATGATTTCTTTTTATTATAATTTATTTGTACGTAAATTTAAATTCAATCTTACAAATAGATTTTTACTTCAAAATAATTTTTAAATTTACACGTGACTTTTAATTAAGATTAATTTTTTTATTTATAAGTTATTTTTTTTATTCAATTACACGTAAATTTTATAGTTATAAGTGATTTTTGTACTTAGGAGTAATTTTTATTATAAACAAATTTTATACTTATAAGTGAATTTTTATTTTATAAATGATTTTTTTTTAATTATAACTGCATTTTTTGGAAATAAGCAGTATGTTTTACTTAAATGCAATTTTTATTCAAAAATAAATATTTTAGTTATTGGGTAATTTCTTGCTTTTAGTATTATTATTATTATTATTATTTTTTTTAAGCAATATTTTTACAGAAGCGGATTTTTTTACAAAAAACACTGATTGTATGTGAACAAAAACTGTTTGCCACCCAGGATATGATATTCCAAGAAGTTGATTGGGAGTTGAGTAAATATGTGATTTGCTAGAAATTTACATCAAAATTTCAACTTACAGCACACGAGCAAAGTCTAGGAAACAAAGAATGAATATCCATAAAGTAATTCTTTTCATTTTGTCAATAAATGAATTATGTAATAATCTTTTATTGCAGTTGGGCATGGCCAGTGGATTAGAAACTCTATGTGGACAAGCCTATGGAGCAAAACAGTATCACATGCTTGGGATATATCTTCAACGAGCATGGCTTGTTTTGTTCGTAACCTCAACTCTACTTACGCCAATATTTTATTTTGCGAGCTCGATTTTAAAAGCTTTAGGCCAAGATGAAAGCATTGCAGAAGTGGCCGGAATTATTGGTATCTGGTTCATTCCTGCGATATACGCCTTTGTTATATCATATAGCTGCCAAATATACCTACAGGCACAGAGTAAGAACGTGGTTATTACTTACTTGGCGGCATTTTCGTTATCCATCCACATCTTTCTCTCATGGCTTCTAACAGTTAAGTACAAGTTTGGGATTACTGGGGCTATGGTGTCTACTCTTTTGGCATACTGGATCCCTAATGCGGGTCAGCTAATATTTGTTGTCTCTGGAGGGTGTCCGGAAACATGGAAAGGTTTTTCGTCTTTAGCTTTTAAGGATCTTTGGCCGATAATCAAGCTTTCTTTATCGTCTGGTGCAATGATCTGGTTAGGCTTACAACTTATTTCATTTACTTGAAGGTTAGTTTAAGGCCTATGTACAGTTATATAAGTATAATGACTTGCCCAAGTCATATTTAAATGGTCTTCAGGCCTGCTACCTAGGTTTAGGAATATGTGTTCTTGTAAAATTCTATGAAAGAATAGGAGTCTTTGTAAAATTCGATTTTGCCCTAATTTATTTTATAAATAGAGAGCAGTCTTTAGACTTTATTTATTATCATCAAATAGAGAGAAAGAGAGGTTTGAGGAGATATGATTGATATTTTCTCTTGTAAACCTTTATTCATCGTCGTGAATTATTGACTTATTGTATCGACGGGAGATGACGTAGTCTCACATTGAACCGAACTTTTATAAATTTCTTGTGTTCTTGTTGTCTATTTTGTTTCTTTAAATTGATTGCTCATGGTGAAATAGAATTAGGATTTATAATTCTCAACTGTTTATACTATAAAGGGAGTTCATGAGGAAGTTTCTATCTTTTTTCCTGCCCACGAAATTCAGTATGCATATATCATGTTTTTATATACCTCTTTGTATTGTTCCCTAAATGAAATCAAAGATTTTGGAGGAGAAACGATTTCCAACATGCAATTTTCTATTATAAACTTTGGTTTCTTTGACAGTCTTGAGCTCTGGTACAACACAATACTGATTCTTTTGACCGGAAATCTGAAAAATGCCGAGGTTGCAATTGATGCTCTTTCAATATGGTAACACTTTCTTCCCCATTCTTTAATTTCCTTCTCTCCTAGCACCATATAAGAATGAAAGTGCACTCTCTTTTTCCAGTATTAACATCAATGGTTGGGAAATGATGATCGCTCTTGGTTTCTTGGGTGCAGCAAGGTGCTATAGTTGTCCTTATTTTCCTCAAAGCCACAAACTTATCTGAGCTTGTTTATATTTCATATTGATCACACCACGTTTGACGTATCTTCAATTACTATATACTAGCGTCCGTGTCTCAAATGAGCTTGGAAGTGGGAACTCTAAAGCCGCAAAGTTCTCAATCATTATGACAGTGTTAACGTCGTTAGCCATTGGACTAGTTCTATTTGTATTTTTCCTGTTTTTCCGTGGACATCTAGCTTATATCTTCACAAAAAGTCAAGATGTGGCAAAGGCAGTCGCTCATTTGTCACCTCTTCTAGCATTTTCCATACTCTTGAACAGTGTTCAACCAGTTCTTTCGGGTAATTTTATGTTTCATTTGTATTTATTCATTAGGAAGAGAAACTTCAGTTCAATATGCTATCAGAACTTGCTACAAATAATTTTCCCTCGTACGATAGGTGTTGCCATTGGTGCTGGACAGCAGAGCAGAGTAGCATACGTTAACATCGGATCCTATTACATAGTAGGAATCCCTATCGGAGTTGTGCTTGGTTATGTTATCAAACTACAAGTTGAAGTGAGTTTTTATTCATCAACCGTCTTGAATTTTTTTACTTTTTTTTTTTTTTTTCATGTTACGATCTGTTAAGTTTTTCTTATTTTTTCCGATTGTGTTTGAGATAGGGTGTTTGGATTGGAATGTTAATTGGCACGCTCGTCCAAACTATCATACTTCTAATATTAACCTTCAGAACTAACTGGGATGACGAGGTAACTTGGATTTGTTGACACTTCCATTTTTGGCTGTTGTTTTTAAACATTTTGATACTTTTGTATGGAGATCGAACTGCTAACTATGGATGTGATACTGCGAATACGATTCAAATGTATTTTTGTTGCAGGTATCCGTTGCTCGTAGACGAGTTGATAGATGGTTTGTGGAAGCTGAAACTGATACACATTTGCCATCAACTGTCTAATGCAGTCTAATGGGGCACATGCTTGTTCATGCTTCTCCAAGAAAACATGCACAAACAAGTTTTTTGTTTGATGAAATTTTATGATCCACAAATTTGTATGATACACTTCGATGCAAATAAGTAGATTTGAACTTATTTAAGTGAATATTATAAGAGCGTCTCCAATG